GGGGGCATATGGGGGAGGGAATGCTGTCACCTCCAGGTAGGTGTTTGTCCCCCTGTGTGCTGAGGGTGTCAGGTTCTTGTCCAGTTCTGGCATTTAGGTCGCCACAGACTAGTACATGTCCCTGGGCCTGGAAATGGTTGATTTCCCCCTCTAGGATGGAGAAGCTGTCTTCATTAAAGTATGGGGATTCTAGTGGGGGGGATATAGGTAGCACACAGGAGGACATTTTTCTCTGTTGAGATCATTTCCTTTTGAATTTCTAACCAAATGTAAAATGTTCCTGTTTTGATTAATTTAGAGTGAGTTAGGTCTGCTCTATACCACATTAGCATACCCCCTGAGTCCCTTCTCTGTTTCACACCTGGTAGTTTGGTGGATGGGACTACCAGCTCTCTGTAACCTAGAGGGCAACCAGGTGGATGGGACTACCAGCTCTCTGTAACCTAGAGGGAAACCAGGTGGATGGGACTACCAGCTCTCTGTAACCTAGAGGGCAACCAGTGGGTCCATCTCCTCTATACCATGTTTCTTGTAGGATGACAATGTCTGTATTTCTGATTTATTTGGTGAAGTCCAGGTTCCTGCTCTTTAGGCCAAAGGCAGATGACCTCAGGCCTTGGATATTCCAGGATGAGATAATGAAGGCTTTGTGTTCCATAAAGTGTCTAATGTTGTTAGTCGTGTGGTTTGGCCTTAGACCAGTAAGTGTGAGCAGAGCCTGCTGAGCATCTGGTACATGCCATTGTCTTAGGCTAGTGTAAGAGTGGGGGTTGGGCCTGTTTGCCTGTTCACGGCCTGGGCGTATATGAGACTTTCATGTTGAGGCCCTCTTTGTGGGAGTGGGGGGCATGGGGTGGGCAGGAGGGGCATAGGTCTGATCTGAGGGGGCCTAAATGGGGTGTGGGCATGGGTGACTAATACCTCTGAGAGGTGAGGGTCAAAAAGGGGGCCCCCCCCTTTTTTTTTTTGGGGGGGTTTTTTCCCCCAAAAATTTTTTTTTTTGGGGCCCCGGGGGGGAAAGGGCCCCCCCTTTTTTTTTTTCCCCCCGGGGGGGGTTGGGCCCCCTTTTTTTTTTAAAAATTTTTTTTTTAAAATTTTTTTCCCCCTTTTTTTTTAAAAAATTTTTTTTTTATAAAAAAGGGGCCCCCGGGGCCCCCCGGGGTTTTTTTTTTTTCTTTAAAAAAAACCCGGTTTTGGGAAAAAATTTGGGAAAGGGGAAAACCCTGGGCCCCCGGGCCCTTTCCCAAAAAAGGGGTTTTTTTGGGGGGGGGAAAAAAATTGGGGGGGGGTTTTTTTTTTTTAAAAAGGGGAAAGGGGGGGAACCCCCTTTTGTTTTGGGGGAAATTTTAAACCCCCCCGGGGAAAAAAAAATTTTTTTTTGGTTTTTGGGTTTTGGGGGTTTTTTTTTTAAAACCAAATAAGGGGGGCCCCGGGGGAAAAAATTTTTTTTTTAAACTTGGGGGTTTTTTTTGGGGGGGGGGGCCCCGGGGGAAAAGGGGGGGGAAATTTTTTCATGGGGCCCCTTTTGGGGGGGGGGGGGGGGGGGGGCAAGGGGGTTTGGGGGGGTTTAAAAGGGGGGGTTTTTTTTTTTGGGGGGGGGGGGGGGGGGGCCCGGGGCCCCCTTTGGGGGTTTTTCCCGGTTTTCTTTTCCCCCCTTTTTTCCCCCCCCCTTTTTTTTTCTTTTTTTCTCTTTTTCCCCCCCCCCCCTGTTTTTTTTTTTTGTGTTCTTCTCCCCTTTTTTTCCCTTTCTTCCCCCCCCCTTTTTTTCTTTTTTTTTTTTTTTTTTTTTTTTTCCCCTCTCCCATCTTTTTTTTTCTCCCCCCCCCCCCCCTTTTTTTTTTTTTTTTTTTTTTTTTTTTTTTTTTTCCTTTTTTTTTTTTTTTTTTTTCCCAAAAAAATTTTTTTTTTTTTTTGGGAAAAAATTTTTTATTTTTTTAAAAAAAAAAATTTTTCTTTTTTTTTTGGAAAAAACCCCCCCCCTTTTTTCCCCCCCGGGGGGGGGGCCCCCCTTTTTTTACCGGCCCTTTTTTTTTTCCCCTTTTTTTTTCCCCTTTTTTTTTGGGGGGGTGGCCCCTTTTTTTGTTTTTGGGGGTTTTTTTTTTTTTTTTTTTTTTAAATTTTTTTTTTTTTTTTGTTGATTTTTTTTTTGGGGCCCCGGGCCCCCCCTTTTTTTTGGGGGTTTTCCCCGGGGGGGGCCCCCCCTTTTTTTTTTTTCCCCGTTTTTTGTTTAAAATTTTTCCCCTTTTTTTAAGGTTTAAAAAGGGGGGGGCCCTTTTTTTTTTTTTGGGGGGGGGGGTTTTGGGTTTTTTTTAAAATTTCTTTTTTTTTTTAAACCCCCCTTTTTTTTTTTTTTTTTTTTTTTTTTCCCTTTAAAAACCCCCCCCAAATTTTCCCCAAAAAAAAAAAAAATTTAAAAATTTTTTTTTAAAATTTTTTTGGTTTTTTTTTTTTTTTTTTTTTTCCGGCCCCCTTTTTTTTTTTGGTATTTTTTAAATTTTTTTTTTTAAATTTTTTTTTTTAAAAAAAAAATTTAAATTTTTGTCATTTTTCCCCCTTTTTAAAAACCTTGGTTTTTTTTTAAAAGGGCCAAACCCCTTAAAGTTTTAAAAATTTAAAGGGAAAATTTTTTAAAGGGGTTTTTAAAGGGGGGGGGGGGGGGGGGGGGGGGGGGGGGGGGGGGGGTTTAAAATTTTTTTTTTAAAATTTTTTTGGGGGGGGTTTTTTTTTCCCCCCGGGGGCCTTTTTTTGAAAACCCCCCCCTTTTTTTACCTTTTTTTTTCCAAAACCCCCCTTTTTCCCAAAAAAAACCCCAAAAAAAAAACCTTTTTTGGGGGGAAAAAAAGGGATTTTCCGGGGGGTTTTTTTTTTTTGAAAAGGGGGGTTTTTTTTTGGGGTTTGGGTTTTTAAAAAGGGGAAAATTTGGGGGGGGGGGGGTTTAAAAAAAAAAATTTGGGGAAATTTTTTTTAAAAATTTTTTTTTTTTCCCCCCCGGGGGGGGGAAATTTTTTCCCAAAAGGGGAAAAAAAACCCGGGGGGGGGGGGGGGTTTTTTTGAACCCCAAAAATTTTTTTTAAAAAAAACCCAGGACCCCCTTTTTTTTTGGGGGGGGAAAAAAATTTTTTGGGGAACCCGTTTTTTGGGGGGGGGGAAAAAAAAATTTTTTTTTCCCCCGTTTGGGGGTTTTTTTTAATTTTTTCCCCGGGGGTTTTTTTTGGGGTTTTTTGGGGGGGGCCCTTTTTAAAAAATTTTTTTTTTTTGGGGGGGAAATTTTTTTTAAAAGGGGGGGGGGGAAAAATTTTTTTCCCCGTTTTAAAAATTTTTTTTTGGGTTTTTGGGGGGTTTTTTTTTGGGGGGGAAAAAAAAAAAAAAACCCCCCCTTTTTTGAAAATTTTCCAAAAACCCTTTTTTCCCCCTTTTAAAAAAATTTTTTTTTAAAATTTTTTTAAGTTTTTTGGGGGGGAAAAAAAAAGGGGGAAAAAAATTTTTTAAAAACCCCAAAGGGGGGGAAAAAAAAAATTAAAAATTTTTTAAAAGGGGGGGGGGCCCCCCAAAAAAGGGGTTTGGGGGCCCCCCCCCTTTTTTCCCCCTTTTTTTTCCCGGGGGTTTTTTTTTTTCCCCCCCCGGGGGTTTTTTTTTTGGGGGGGGGGGGTTTTTTTTTTTTCCTTTTTTTTTTTTTTTTTTTCCCCCCTCTTTTTTCCCCAAATTTTTTTTTCCCAAAAAAAATCCCGGGGGGGGGGGGAAAAAGGGGGGGGGGGGGGGGGGGGGGCCCCCGGGGGGGAAAAAAAATTTTTTTTTTTTTTTTTGGGGCCCCCTTTTTTTTTAAAAAAATTTTTTTTTAAAACCCCTTTTTTTTTGGTTTTTTTTTTTTTTTTTTTTTGGGGGGTTTTTTTTTTTTTTTTGGGGGGTTTTTTTTTTTTTGGGGGGTTTTTTACCGGGGGGTTTTTTTTTCGGGGGGGGCCGGGAAAAGGGGGGAAAAGGGGGGGGAAAAAAAAAGGGGGCCGGGGGGGGCCCCTTTTTTTCCCCCCCCTTTTTTTTTTTCCCTTTTTCCCTTTTTCCCCTTTTTTTAAAAAGGGGGGGGGGGGGGTTTTTTTTTTTTTTGGGGGGGGGGGGGGGCCTTTTTGGGGGTTTTCCCCCCCTGGTTTGGGCCGGGGTTTTTTTTTTTTGGGGGGGAAGGGAAAAAGGGGGGAAATTAAAGGGGGGAAAAAAACCCCCCCCGGGGGGGATTTTTTTTTGGGGGGGTCCCCGGGGGAAAAAAAAAACCCCCCCGGGGAAAAAGGGGGAAAGAAAGGGGGGGGGGGGGAAAAAAAAAAAGGAGAAAGGGGGGGTTGGTTTAAGGGGGGAAAATTTTTAAAAAAAAGGGGGGGGAAAACCAAAAAAAATTTGGGGGAAAACCCGGGGGGCCGGGAAACCCCCTTTTTTTTAAAAGGGGTTTTGGGGGAAAAAAAAAGGGGGGAAAAAAGGGGGGGGGGGGGGGGGGGGGAAGGGGGGGGGAAAAAAAAAAAAATCCCGGGGCCCCCCCGGGGGGGCCCCCCCGGGGGGAGGAAAAAGGGGGGGAGGGGAAAAAAACCTTTAAAAAAAACCCGGGGGAAAAAAACCCCCCCCCAAAAAAAACCCGGGAAAAAACCCCCTCTCTCCTATCGCGCTGTGTCTCTCTCTCTCTCTCTCGCGCTGTGTCCTCTCTCTCTCTCTCTCTGTGTCTCTCTCTCTCTCTCTGTGTGTGTGTCTCTCTCTCTGTGTGTGTCTCTCTCTCTCTCTGTGTGTCTCTCTCTCTCGCTCTCTCGCTCTCTCTCGGTCTCTCGCTCTCTCTCGGTCTCTCTCGCTCTCTCTCTCTCTCGGTCTCTCTCTCTCTCTCTCTCTCTCTCTCGCTCTGTGTCTCTGTCTGTTGCTCTCTCTCCGTCTGTGTCCCTCTGTCTGTCTCTTTCTCTCTGTGTCCCCGTCTCTCACTCTCTCACTATCTGTTTCTGTCTCTCTGTGTGTCTCTACTCTTTCTCTGTTCTGTAGTTCTGGAAGGAAAGAGGAAGCGGCGGTCCCATTCTGCAGACTCCTCCCTCAGTTCTCCTGGCTCCTCCCAGTTGTCCTCTCTGGAGTCTGGGAGTGAATCCGAGGAGAAGCATCACCATCACAGGAGAAAGAGACGCTCCAAGAGCAAACGCTCCAAGAAGAGGAATAGAGCGAGGGAGGGGAAGAGAGAGGGTCACACGGAGAGGGTGGAGCCTGGTCTGAAGAGGTGAGATTCACTGTGAACTACCTCACACCAATACGGCCAAATTATTCACAAGACATTTTGGGCTTATTATGATGTGCAACTCTCCTGTCAAATCTGTTTACATACCACTGATGTTTTTTATATTGGTGTGTTTTGTTGCTACTCAATAAGCCCTGTGGATGGAGGGATGGTGACGGTAGCTGTGGAGGATGGAGGGAAGGAGCAGAGTGGTGTGAAGAGAGAGAAGCCAGTAGTGCGACCAGAGGAGATCCCTCCTGTTCCTGAGAACCGCTTCCTGTTGAGGAGAGACCAGCCGGGTCAGGAGCACCAGCCAGACACGTCAGTCTATCTCTGTTACTAACCCTGTTAACCAGCCAGCCAGACACGTCAGTCTATCTCTGTTACTAACCCTGTTAACCAGCCAGCCAGACACGTCAGTCTATCTCTGTTACTAACCCTGTTAACCAGCCAGACAGACACGTCAGTCTATCTCTGTTACTAACCCTGTTAACCAGCCAGACACGTCAGTCTATCTCTGTTACTAACCCTGTTAACCAGCCAGACAGACACGTCAGTCTATCTCTGTTACTAACCCTGTTAACCAGCCAGACAGACACGGCAGTCTATCTCTGTTACTAACCCTGTTAACCAGCCAGCCAGACACGTCAGTCTATCTCTGTTACTAACCCTGTTAACCAGCCAGCCAGACACGTCAGTCTATCTCTGTTACTAACCCTGTTAACCAGCCAGACACGTCAGTCTATCTCTGTTACTAACCCTGTTAACCAGCCAGACACGTCAGTCTATCTCTGTTACTAACCCTGTTAACCAGCCAGACACGTCAGTCTATCTCTGTTACTAACCCTGTTAACCAGCCAGACACGTCAGTCTATCTCTGTTACTAACCCTGTTAACCAGCCAGACACGTCAGTCTATCTCTGTTACTAACCCTGTTAACCAGCCAGACACGTCAGTCTATCTCTGTTACTAACCCTGTTAACCAGCCAGCCAGACACGTCAGTCTATCTCTGTTACTAACCCTGTTAACCAGCCAGACACGTCAGTCTATCTCTGTTACTAACCCTGTTAACCAGCCAGCCACGTCAGTCTATCTCTGTTACTAACCCTGTTAACCAGCCAGACACGGCAGTCTATCTCTGTTACTAACCCTGTTAACCAGCCAGACACGTCAGTCTATCTCTGTTACTAACCCTGTTAACCAGCCAGACAGACACGGCAGTCTATCTCTGTTACTAACCCTGTTAACCAGCCAGCCAGACACGTCAGTCTATCTCTGTTACTAACCCTGTTAACCAGCCAGACACGTCAGTCTATCTCTGTTACTAACCCTGTTAACCAGCCAGACAGACACGGCAGTCTATCTCTGTTACTAACCCTGTTTACCAGCCAGCCAGACACGTCAGTCTATCTCTGTTACTAACCCTGTTAACCAGCCAGACACGTCAGTCTATCTCTGTTACTAACCCTGTTAACCAGCCAGCCAGACACGTCAGTCTATCTCTGTTACTAACCCTGTTAACCAGCCAGACACGTCAGTCTATCTCTGTTACTAACCCTGTTAACCAGCCAGACACGTCAGTCTATCTCTGTTACTAACCCTGTTTACCAGCCAGACACGTCAGTCTATCTCTGTTACTAACCCTGTTAACCAGCCAGACACGTCAGTCTATCTCTGTTACTAACCCTGTTAACCAGCCAGACACGGCAGTCTATCTCTGTTACTAACCCTGTTAACCAGCCAGACACGTCAGTCTATCTCTGTTACTAACCCTGTTAACCAGCCAGACACGTCAGTCTATCTCTGTTACTAACCCTGTTAACCAGCCAGACACGTCAGTCTATCTCTGTTACTAACCCTGTTAACCAGCCAGACACGTCAGTCTATCTCTGTTACTAACCCTGTTTACCAGCCAGACACGTCAGTCTATCTCTGTTACTAACCCTGTTAACCAGCCAGACACGTCAGTCTATCTCTGTTACTAACCCTGTTTACCAGCCAGACACGTCAGTCTATCTCTGTTACTAACCCTGTTTACCAGCCAGACACGTCAGTCTATCTCTGTTACTAACCCTGTTAACCAGCCAGCCAGACACGTCAGTCTATCTCTGTTACTAACCCTGTTAACCAGCCAGCCAGACACGTCAGTCTATCTCTGTTACTAACCCTGTTAACCAGCCAGACACCAGCCAGTCAGTCCCTTCATTCTGATCCTACCATGTGTTGCATGTCTTGAGGCTCAATCTAGTCCCGGGCCAATCTAATCTAGGGTCAATCTAGTCTTGTGTAATACAGTAGCTGCCTAATTTAACTCAAGAATTGACCACTTGACCTGAAATGTTAATTGAATAATGCTTGTCATTGAAAATAGGGCATTCACTTTTTTTAAGCCTCAAAATGACCCAAACTGAAAACCAAATGACTTCCAGTTTGTTTGTCTATAATTGGGTTCATGTTATTTCCAGAACTGAGCCAGGTGCCTCCTCCCTTCCCAATGACCTGAAGCAGTCCGTCACCAAGTCTGGACGCAAGATCAAAGGCAGGGGGACAATGGTACATTATCCTATTATAACTACTACCATACTATAACAATGGTACATTCTCTAGTCTGAAGTCTCTGTAAAGCCCCAATCTGTCTGTAAAGCCCCAATGTGTCTGTAAAGCCCCAATGTGACTGAATCAGGACTCAACACAAAGACATAACAACCTGTTATAAGGACAGAAGATGAACGGTACAGAGACAACTAGATGTTGCTAAATATCCTGAGAAATCTATTTTAATCTCTAAGAAACAAACGTTTCTCTGTCTCTGGTCATCTCCTGTATTCCTGATGAAACTGCCTAGCTCTCATTTTGCACCGTTAGATCATTTTCATTCCCCGCTAAAGCATCCATTCGATGTTGACTTCATGGACATCAGGTAACCAGCCCTTTGTGACCTCTGTGTAGAAACTGGACTAGACTATCAGGGGAGGAAGTGACATGTGCAGAACACCAGCGTGCTGTCTGGCTAGTTTCCTGTTCTGCTCTCTCTGCAGAGGGTATGTCAGTCTGGTTAGTTTCCTGTTCTGCTCTCTCTGCAGAGGTACCACACCCCAGCGTGCTGAATGTCAGTCTGGTTAGTTTCCTGTTCTGCTCTCTCTGCAGAGGTACCACACCCCAGCGTGCTGAATGTCAGTCTGGTTAGTTTCCTGTTCTGCTCTCTCTGCAGAGGTACCACACCCCAACGTGCTCTAAGTCCCGCTCTGCCTCGGAGGAGGAGGGGCGAGGAAACAGCGAGACTCCGCCCCACTGGAAGGAGGAAATGCGGAGAACCAAGTCCTACCAGCCGCCCAGCGTAGAGAGATGGCGCAGAGGAGACAAGTACGCCGCTGTTTCACTGTATACAGGAACTACACCATAGGTCTATAGGGCCACAACATGGCTATTGGGGGCAAGGAGACCCCGAGCTCCACTAAAACCATGTGCCGTTTTTAAGGGATTTTAAAATAAATGTTAGAACTATTTGGTTGTAATATCATCACCTCTTGAAGTCAAATCTACACATTTTCCGATTTATTCCACGTTTAGCTCCATCATCAGAGTTATACAGCAAGTAACTGCATGGTTTTCATGATCAGTAAACATCATTGTCTTTTCAGATACCTGAGGGTAGCCTATCCATTTGGCATGTAGCTACACTACCAGTCAAAAGTTTAGACACCTACTCATTCAAGGGTTTTTCTTTATTTTTACTATTTTCTACATTGTAGAATAATAGTGAAACAACTGAAATAACACATATGGAATCATGTAGTAACCAAAAAAAGTGTTAAACCAATCAAAATATATTTTATATTTGAGATTCTTCAAATAGCCACCCTTTGCCTTGATGACAGCTTTGCACACTCTTGGCATTCTCTCAACCAGCTTCACCTGGAATGCTTTTCCAACAGTCTTGAAGGAGTTCCCACATATGCTGAGCACTTGTTGGCTGCTTTTCCTTCACTCTGCGGTCCAACTCATCCCAAAACATCTCAATTGGGTTGAGGTTGGGTGATTGTAGAGGCCAGGTCATCTGATGCAGCACTCCATCACTCTCCTTCTTGGTCAAATAGCCCTTACACAGCCTGGAGGTGTGTTGGGTCATTGTCCTGTTGAAAAACAAATGATAGTCCCACTAAGCGCAAACCAGATGGGATGGCGTATCACTGCAGAATGCTGTGGTAGCCATGCTGGTTAAGTGTGCCTTGAATTCTAAATAAATCACAGACAGTATCACCAGCAAAGCACCCCCACACCATAACACCTCCTCTTCCATGCTTTACGGTGGGAAATACACATGCGGAGATCATCCGTTCACCCACACCGCATCTCACAAAGACATGGCGGTTTGAACCAATTTGGACTCCAGACCAAATGACACATTTCCACCGGTCTAATGTCCATTGCTTGTGTTTCTTGGTTCAAGCAGGTCTCTTCTTATCAAATCAAATTGTATTTGTCACATACACGTGTTTAGCAGATGTTTATAGCGGGTGTAGCGAAATGCTTGTGCTTCTAGCTCCGACAGTGCAGTAATATCTAACAATTACACAACATATACCCAATACACACAAAACTAGTAAGGAATGGAATGTAAGAATATATACATATATGGACAAGCAATGTCAGAGCGGCATGGACTAAGATACAGTAGAATATTATAGAATAGAATACAGTATATACATATGAGATGAGTAGTGCAAGATATGGAAACATTATTAAAGTGACTAGTGTTCCATTTCTTAAAGTGGCCAGTGATTTCAATAGGCAGCAGCAGCCTCTAATGTGCTAGTGATGGCTATTTAACAGTCTGATGGCCTTGAGATAGAAGCTGTTTTTCATTCTCTCGGTCGCAGCTTTGATGCACCTGTACTGACCTCGCCTTCTGGATGATAGTGGGGTGAACAGGCCGTGGCTCGGGTGGTTGATGTCCTTGATGATCTTTTTGGCCTTCCTGTGACATCGGGTGCTGTAGGTGTCTTGGAGGGCGGGTAGTTTGCCCCCGGTAATGCGCTCGGCAGACCGCACCACCCTCTGGAGAGCCCTGCGGTTGTGGGCGGTGCAGTTGCCGTACCAGGCGGTGATACAGCCCGACAGGATTCTCTCAATTGTGCATCTGTAGAAGTTTTAGGTGATAAGCCAAATTTCTTCAGCCTCCTGAGGTTGAAGAGGCGCTGTTGCGACTTCTTCACCACACTGTCTGTGTGGGTGGACCATTTCAGTTTGTCAGTGATGTGTACGCCAAGGAACTTGAATCTTTCCACCTTCTCCACTGCGGTCCCGTCGATGTGGATAGGGGGGTGCACCCTCTTCTGTTTCCTGAAGTCCACGATCAACTCCTTTGTTTTGTTGACGTTGAGGGAGAGGTTATTTTCCTGGCACCACACTCCCAGAGCCCTCACCTCCTCCCTGTAGGTCATTGTTGGGAGGAGGTGTCCTTTTAGTAGTGGTTTCTTTGCAGCAATTCCACCATGAAGTGGAATTGTTCTGTTGTTCTGTTACTTGAACTCTGTGAAGCATTTATTTGGGCTACAATTTCTGAGGCTGGTAACTCTAATGAACTTATCCTCTGCAGCAGAGGGAACTCTGGGTCTTCCATTCCTGTGGTGGTCCTCATGAGAGCCAGTTTCATCATAGCGCTTGATGATTTTTGCGACTGCACTTGAAGAAACTTTCAAAGTTCTTGAAATGTTCAGTATTGACTGACCTTCACGTCTTAGTAATGATGGACTGTAATTTCTCTTTGCTTATTTGAGCTGTTCTTGCCATAATATGGACTTGGTATTTTACCAAATAGGGTTATCTTCTGTATACCCCTCCTACCTTGTCACAACACAACTGATTGGCTCAAACGCATTAAGAAGGAAAGAAATTCCACAAATTAACAAGGCACACCTATTAATTTAAATGCATTCCAGGTGACTACCTCATGAAGCTGGTTGAGAGAATGCCAAGAGTGTGCAAAGCTGTCATCAATGCAAAGGGTGGCTATTTGAAGATCCTCAAATATAAAATATATTTTGATTTGTTTAACACTTTTTGGGTTACTACATGATTCCATATGTGTTATTTCATAGTTTTGATGTCTTCACTATTATTCTACAATGTAAAAAAAATAGTAAAAATAATGATAAACCCTTGAATGAGAAGGTGTGTCAACTTTTGTCTGGTAGTGTATATAATACATACAGTGAGGGAAAAAAGTATTTGATCCCCTGCTGATTTTGTAAGTTTGCCCACTGACAAAGAAATGATCAGTCTATAATTTTAATGGTAGGTTAATTTGAACAGTGAGAGACAGAATAACAACAACAAAATCCAGAAAAACGCATGTCAAATGTTATAAATTGATTTGCATTTTAATGAGGGAAATAAGTATTTGACACCTCTGCAAAACATGACTTAGTACTTGGTGGCAAAACCCTTGTTGGCAATCACAGAGGTCAGACGTTTCTTGTAGTTGGGCACCAGGTTTGCACACATCTCAGAAGGGATTTTGTCCCACTCCTCTTTGCAGATCTTCTCCAAGTCATTAAGGTTTTGAGGCTGACGTTTGGCAACTCGAACCTTCAGCTACCTCCACAGATTTTCTATGGGATTAAGGTCTGGAGACTGGCTAGGCCACTCCAGGACCTTAATGTGCTTCTTCTTGAGCCACTCCTTTGTTGCCTTGGCTGTGTGTTTTGGGTCATTGTCATGCTGGAATACCCATCCATGACCCATTTTCAATGCCCTGGCTGAGGGAAGGAGGTTCTCACCTAAGATTTGACGGTACATGGCCCCGTCCATCGTCCCTTTGATGCAGTGAAGTTGTCCTGTCCCCTTAGCAGAGAAACACCCCCAAAGCATAATGTTTCCACCTCCATGTTTGACGGTGGGGATGGTGTTCTGGGGGTCATAGGCAGCATTCCTCCTCCTCCAAACACGGCGAGTTGAGTTGATGCCAAAGAGCTCAATTTTGGTCTCATCTGACCACAACACTTTCACCCAGTTCTCCTCTGAATCATTCAGATGTTCATTGGCAAACTTCAGACGGCCCTGTATATGTGCTTTCTTGAGCAGGGGAACCTTGCGGGCGCTGCAGGATTTCAGTCCTTCACGGCGTAGTGTGTTACCAATTGTTTTCTTGGTGACTATGGTCCCAGCTGCCTTGAGATCATTGACAAGATCCTCCCGTGTAGTTCTGGCTTGATTCCTCACCGTTCTCATGATCATTGCAACTCCACAAGGTGAGATCTTGCATGGAGCCCCAGGCCGAGGGAGATTGACAGTTCTTTTGTGTTTCTTCCATTTGCGAATAATCGCACCAACTGTTGTCACCTTCTCACCAAGCTGCTTGGCGATGGTCTTGTAGCCCATTCCAGCCTTGTGTAGGTCTACAATCTTGTCCCTGACATCCTTGGAGAGCTCTTTGGTCTTGGCCATGGTGGAGAGTTTGGAATCTGATTGATTGATTGCTTCTGTGGACAGGTGTCTTTTATACAGGTAACAAGCTGAGATTAGGAGCATTCCCTTTAAGAGTGTGCCCCTAATCTCAGCTCAGTACCTGTATAAAAGACACCTGGGAGCCAGAAATCTTTCTGATTGAGAGGGGGTAAAATACTTATTTCCCTGATTAAAATGCAAATCAATTTATAACATTTTTTCTGGATTTTTTTGTTGTTATTCTGTCTCTCAATGTTCAAATAAACCTACCATTAAAATTATAGACTGATCATTTCTTTGTCAGTGGGCAAACGTACAAAATCAGCAGGTGATCAAATACTTTTTTCCCTCACTGTAGCTACTATAACTACTGTATATATATATATATATATATATATATATATATATATATATATATATATATATATATACTGTATAATACGTAGCTACTGAAACTGCTATATATAATACATAGTTACTATAACCACACCATGGGCCATAGTTACTATAACCACACCATGGGCCATAGTTACTATAACCACACCATGGGCCATAGTTACTATAACCACGCCATGGGCCATAGTTACTATAACCACGCCATGGGCCATAGTTACTATAACCACACCATGGGCCATAGTTACTATAACCACACCATGGGCCATAGTTACTATAACCACACCATGGGCCATAGTTACTATAACCACACCATGGGCCATAGTTACTATAACCACACCATGGGCCATAGTTACTATAACCACACCATGGGCCATAGTTACTATAACCACACCATGGGCCATAGTTACTATAACCACACCATGGGCCATAGTTACTATAACCACACCATGGGCCATAGTTACTGTATGTGTGACAACTTGAAAAAAAACAGTTAAGCATTATCAATGCTAAGCACTGATCCAGCTACATGTCTTATTGTTTGAAACCTTGAGGTCAGTTCGACTGTCCCCTCTGAGGGTGTTCTCTTGACTTAACAGATTGAATGACCTTTGTTCCAGCAGATGGGAGGAGGACCGCAGCAGGAGTGACTCCCCGTGGTCCCAGTCCCCGGAGTGCTCCTCAGGCCACAGCTCTGACCGCTCCAGCCAGCCCCGCCCACACAGGAAGGAGAAGAAAAAAGCCAAGCGCAAGAAGGCCAAGAAACGCAAACATGCCAAGAGACAAAGGAAGGAGTCCACCAAGAGCAAAGAGCCCAAAGAGTCGGCCATCCCAGAGGGTCAGGGGTCAAAGCTTGGTGACATGGAGAGAAGGTCCCTCTCTGTGTCCCGGACCCCCTCCGCCCGCCGACGCTCCCCCAGGAAGCAGTGCTCCGGGTTGGGCAAGCGGCGCCGCTCCTCCCCCTCCTCCAGAGACTCCAGGTCCTACACACCCAGCCACTCCAGATCTCGGGGCAGGTCTATGTCTTACTCCCAGTCCAGGAGCCTGTCTCGCTCCAGAAGCAGGTCTCTATCCATGTCAAGGTCCCGGTCCAGATCTAGGTCTCGATCCAGATCCCGGTACAGATCCAGGTCTAAGTCTTTGTCCAGGCTCAGGAGGAGGAAGGCAACCAGATCCTCCAAGAAGCCCAAGATTGCTGACGTCAGCAGGCTAAAGCCAGACACCTCAGCCGCAGGGGCAGTGAAGGGTGTAGAGACCAAAACCACGGCCCTCCCTACCGCCCCTGAGAACGCCCCTGTCATCCCCATGAGCGACAGCCCCCCTCCCTCACGCTGGAAGCCCGGCCAGAAACCATGGAAACCCTCCTACGTCCGAGTCCAGGAGGTCAAGACCAAGACGACCCCAGCCTGTCTGTCCCCCATGGGCCCCACAGCCCCCAGTACATCTGAGAACCACCCAGAGAACTCCCACCTGGAAAAGAGCCATGGCTCTAAGAGCCACAGACACCAGAGACGATCACCCAGCGGCTCCTACCGGAGCAGGTCCTACAGCCTTTCTCGCAGTCGCTCCAGGAGTCACTCCCGGTCCAGGATAAGGTCACCAGGTCACTACTATAGCAGATCCTCCTCCTACAGCAGGTCAGACTCTTATGACTCTCACGGGAGAGGCATCGACAAGACCTTAGACAAGACTTTAAACAAGATAAAGATAGAAAAAGGCTGGAAGCAGTACTACAGCTCTCTGAAGCGGATCAAGAACCTGGATAAGTACCTCAAAGCGCCCGACACAAAGATCAACACATTTTCATCTGACTCTGAGGACGGAACAGCAAGCGAACACAGTCCTGGGCCTAGGCAGAATGGCTCCAAGGGACCGAAACTCTTTGGCCCCTTATCAGAAGACCGGCATCGTCAGGCGACAGAAGCAAAAAGTCTGAAACCAGACCAAAAGTCCTTGGAGGAACCCAGCAGTAGGTCAGAGTGGGACAGTGATGGGGATAAAATAGGCAGAAAGACCAGCCTGGTGAACAACCAGAAGCCTGAGGTTAGATCAGCAGAGATTCCTGACCAGAGACTGGCAGCTCTCGCTGGGTGGGACTCTGAGAGCGACTCTGAGAAAGTGCTGCCCAAGATGGTCATCACCGAGCACAAGGTCTTCCTGTCAGAGAAGGAGGAGGGTGAGGCCAGCTCCGAGTCAGAACACGAACACCATGTACGGTCACACAGCAAGATGAACAAAGCCCCTGGAACCTCTGATGTGTTGGTACTTCCTGTACATACTGCCTCCCCATTGGAGGGGAGCCCTGAGAAGGGCCCCGAGGCAGAGACACACAAGAGCAGGAAGAAGAACAAACATAAACACAAACACAAGAGGAGGAGCTCTGCCAAGTCTGGCTCCCACAGGTCAAAAGTCAAGTCCAAGAGGTCCAAGAGGAAACACCAGAAGCTGAAGGAGACATTCCACTGGCAGCCGCCACTGGAGTTCGGAGAGGAAGAGGAGGAGGATGAGTCCCAGAAAGAGAAACATGCTGCTGTAAAGGATAGTCCTCAGAGAGCTGACGGGGGAAGAACAGGCAAATCCCCACATCTGGAAAAGGAGGACAAGGAGAGAAGTCTTGCTTCACCCAACACAAACAGTTCAATACAGCCAACGCCTCACAGCATGGAAGATACAGCAGAGATGACCAAAAAACAGAGAGCTAAACCAACTGCCAACTCAAACCCAAAACACACTGAACCTCAGGACCTCACTGCTAACCTGCCAAAGATGGATCAGCCAGAGATGGTAGACGATATGGAGATCTGCACCCCAGAACATGACCTCCCTGACCCCACTACCGAGCCACCAGGCCCTCTGGGCCAACAGGTCCCAGGTATCAGTCTGAAAACCCTGGCTCCTCTGAGTTGCACCTTAAAGAATGGAGACGTGTTCCTCTCACCTGTTAAAGAATCACAGTCTACAGCCTCTCTGCCAGCTGTGACGCTAGCTAGTGGGGAGCAGCAGGAAACTGCAGCAGGCAGAGCCGCTGGACCTCCTGTCGACCCCAAATGGAAGCCTCTGAAGGGGATGGCTGTTCTGCAGGCCCTGAACCCAAACCCCTCCTCCATGGCCCGTCTGCTCCCCACCAGACTCCCGGAGCACAGTGGGACCCGGACCCAGCCCCAGGGAGGCATCAGGCCCCAGGGCAGCAGGACCCAGAGCCAAGGCGGAAGGACCCAGGGGGGTGTCAGCATCCAGATCAAGAGCCAGAGCCGGGTGCGTCCGGGGTCACTGTTCGACGAGGTACGGAAGACGGCCAGACTGAATCAGAGGCCCAGGAACCAGGACAGCAGCTCCAGCGAGGAGAGGTCTCAGTCTGCAGCTGGAGCCGGGGGAGGGGCCACGGAGGAGGAGCGGGGCAGCAGGAGGTCCCGGTCGGGATCTAGCCACTCCCACAGGTCCCGGTCCAGAGGAAGATCCCCCTCCTCCAGCTGCTCCAGGAATAGGTCACGCTCCTCCAGCTACTCCTCCAGGTTTACTGACTGGATGCTTTACTGGTTGGGGGGGGGGGGGGGGGGGGGGGGGTGTAATGTATGGGGGGGGGTGGGGGGGTGGGTTTACTGGTTGTGGGTGGGTTACTGGTGGGGGTTACTGGCATGGTGGGGGGGGGGGTTTGTTTACTGGCTGGGGGGGTGGGTTTAGCTGGGGTACTGGGGGGGGGGGTGGGTTACTGGCTTGGGGGGGGGGTGGGTTTACTGGTGGGGGGGTGGGCTGGGGGGGGTTGGTGGGGGGGGGGAGTGGGGGGGTTTATGGAGGGGGGGGGGGGGTTATGGCTGGGGGGGCTGGGGTTTATGGGGGGGGGGTTTACTGGCGGGGGGTGGGGGTTTATGGGGGGGGTGGGGGGTTTACTGGCTGGGGGGGGGGGTTTACTGGCTGGGGGGTGGGTGGGGGGGGGTTGTGGGGGGGGGGGGGTTTAATGGCTGGGGGGGGGGTTACTGGCGGGGGGGTCGGGGTGGGGGGGTGGGTTTACTGGGGGGGGGGGTGGGTGGGTTTTTACTGGCTCTGGGGGGGGGGGTGGTTTATGATGGGGGGGTGGGTTTATGGCTGGGGGGGTGGGGGGGTTTACTGGCTTGGGGGGTGGGTTACTGGCTGGTGGGGGGCGGTGGGGGGGGTGGGGGGGGTTACTGGGGGGGGGGTGGGGTGTTACTGGCTGGGGGGGTGGTTAGGCTGGGGGGGGGGGGTTATGGCTGGGGGGGGGGGTGGTTTAATGGCTGGGGGGGGGGGGTTTACTGGTATGGGGGGGTGGGTTTAGGCTTGGGGGGTGGTTTGCTGGCGGGGGTGGTTACTGGCTTGGGGGGGGTGGTTACTGGCTGGGGGGGGTGGGTTTTTACTGGCCTGGGGGGGTGGTTTACTGGTCGGGGGTCGGTGGGGGTGTTTACTGGCTGGGGGGGTGGGTTTACTGGCTCTGGGGGGGTGGGTTTACTGGCTGGTGGGGGTGGGTTTACTGGCTCTGGGGCGGGGGTTACTGGACGGTGGGTGGTTTATGGCTCTGGGTGGGGTGGGTTTATGGCTGGTGGGGGGTCGGGTTTATGCTACGCGGGGGGCTTATGATGCGTGGGGCTTCGCTGGGCCTGGGTTAGCTGGGCTCAGGTGCGGTGACTGGTGGTTTACTGACTGGCTGGTTGACTGACTGGCTGGTTGACTGACTGAAATGATTGTTGTTATTTTGATAAGTAGCCTGGTAATGTCTGGTTTGTGTAATATAAAGGTAATATCCAGGTTTTATGATCTACAGGTCTGATATGGAAGGACATAAATAATCTGAACTCTTCTCCTAGGAGTCGGAGCAGGGACAGGAGGCGGTATCCCAGAGGCCGCTCCCGTTCCCGCTCCCGCAGCATCACCTACCGCAGGTATAACAGCCACAGTCGGACCTACAGTAGAAGTCATTCCAGAAGCCGTTCCTATGATCGACGCAGGAGATCCAGGTAGACTAGACAATACACCTGTCCATCTGTCCTCCTCCATGTAGACCTGTCCATCTGTCCTCCTCCATGGAGACCTGTCCATCTGTCCTCCTCCATCTAGACCTGTCCATCTGTCCTCCTCCATGGAGACCTGTCCATCTGTCCTCCTCCATGGAGACCTGTCCATCTGTCCTCCTCCATGTAGACCTGTCCATCTGTCCTCCTCCATGGAGACCTGTCCATCTGTCCTCCTCCATGTAGACCTGTCCATCTGTCCTCCTCCATGTAGACCTGTCCATCTGTCCTCCTCCATGGAGACCTGTCCATCTGTCCTCCTCCATCTAGACCTGTCCATCTGTCCTCCTCCATGGAGACCTGTCCATCTGTCCTCCTCCATGGAGACCTGTCCATCTGTCCTCCTCATCTAGATCTGTCCTCCTCAGTCACGTCTCCATGTTCATGTCAATCAACAATCCAAATATGTATTTTTTGGTTTGTTGATAAGCTACAGTGCATTCGGAAAATATTCAGACCCCTTGACTTTTTTTCCCCCCGTCATCAATCTACACACAATACCCCATAATGGCAAAGCAAAAACAGGTTTTTATAAATTTTTGCTAATTTATTTAAAATAAAAAACTGAAATCACATTTTATATAAGTATTCAGACCCTTTACTCAGTACTTTGAAGCACTTTTGGCAGCGATTACAGCCTTGAGTCTTCTTGGGTATGACGCTACAAGCTTGGCACACGTGTATTTGGGGAGTTTCTCCCATTCTTCTCTGCAGATCCTTTCAAGCTCTATCAGGTTAGATGGAGAGCGTCGCTGCACAGCTATTTTCAGGTCTCCAGAGATGTTAGATCGGGTTCAAGTCCAGGCTCTGGCTGGGCCACTCAAGGACATTCAGAGACACCTGCGTTGTCTTGGCTGTGTGCTTAGGGTCGTTGTCCTGTTGGAAGGTGAACCTTCGCCCCAGTCTGAGGTCCTGAGCGCTCTGGAGCAGGTTTTCATCAAGGATCTCGATGTACTTTGCGCCGTTCATCTTTGCTTTGATCCTTACTAGTCTCCCAGTACCTGACGCTGAAAATATCCCCACAGCATGATGCTGCCAAATCAAATCAAATGTTATTTGTCACACGTGTTTAGCAGATGTTATTGTGGGTGTAGCGAAATGCTTGTGCTTCTAGCTCCGACAGTGCAGTAATATCTAACAAGTAATATCTAACAATTTCACAACATATACAGTGGGGAAAAAATGTATTTAGTCAGCCACCAATTGTGTAAGTTCTCCCACTTAAAAAGATGAGAGAGGCCTGTAATTTTCATCATAGGTACACGTCAACTATAACAGACAAATTGAGGAGAAAAAATCCAGAAAATCACATTGTAGGATTTTTTATGAATTTATTTGCACATTTTGGTGGAAAATAAGTATTTGGTCACCTACAAACAAGCAAGATTTCTGGCTCTCACAGACCTGTAACTTCTTCTTTAAGAGGCTCCTCTGTCCTCCACTCGTTACCTGTATTAATGGCACCTGTTTGAACTTGTTATCAGTATAAAAGACACCTGTCCACAACCTCAAACAGTCACACTCCAAACTCCACTATGGCCAAGACCAAAGAGCTGTCAAAGGACACCAGAAACAAAATTGTAGACCTGCACCAGGCTGGGAAGACTAAATCTGCAATAGGTAAGCAGCTTGGTTTGAAGAAAATCAACTGTGGGAGCAATTATTAGGAAATGGAAAGACATACAAGACCACTGATAATCTCCCTCGATCTGGGGGCTCCACGCAAGATCTCACCCCGTGGGGTCAAAATGATCACAAGAACGGTGAGCAAAAATCCCAGAACCACACGGGGGGACCTAGTGAATGACCTGCAGAGAGCTGGGACCAAAGTAACAAAGCCTACCATCAGTAACACACTACGCCACCAGGGACTCAAATCCTGCAGTGCCAGACGTGTCCCCCTGCTTAAGCCAGTACATGTCCAGGCCCGTCTGAAGTTTGCTAGAGTGCATTTGGATGATCCAGAAGAGGATTGGGAGAATGTCATATGGTCAGATGAAACCAAAATATAACTTTTTGGTAAAAACTCAACTCGTCGTGTTTGGAGGACAAAGAATGCTGAGTTGCATCCAAAGAACACCATACCTACTGTGAAGCATGGGGGTGGAAACATCATGCTTTGGGGCTGTTTTTCTGCAAACGGACCAGGACGACTGATCCGTGTAACGGAAAGAATCAATGGGGCCATGTATCGTGAGATTTTGAGTGAAAACCTCCTTCCATCAGCAAGGGCATTGAAGATGAAACGTGGCTGGGTCTTTCAGCATGACAATGATCCCAAACACACCGCCCGGGCAACAAAGGAGTGGCTTCGTAAGAAGCATTTCAAGGTCCTGGAGTGGCCTAGCCAGTCTCCAAAACTCAACCCCATAGAAAATCTTTGGAGGGAGTTGAAAGTCCGTGTTGCCCAGCGACAGCCCCAAAACATCACTGCTCTAGAGGAGATCTGCATGGAGGAATGGGCCAAAATACCAGCAACAGTGTGTGAAAACCTTGTGAAGACTTAAAGAAAAATTGTTTGACCTGTGTCATTGCCAACAAAGGGTATATAACAAAGTATTGAGAAACTTTTTTGTTATTGACCAAATACTTATTTTCCACCATAATTTGCAAATAAATTCATTAAAAATCCTACAATGTGATTTTCTGGAATTTGTTTTCTCATTTTGTCTGTCAGTTGACGTGTACCTATGATGAAAATTACAGGCCTCTCTCATCTTTCTAAGTGGGAGAACTTGCACAATTGGTGGCTGACTAAATACTTTCTTTCCCCACTGTACCCAATACACACACATCTAGTAAGGAATGGAATTTAAGAATATATACATATATGGACAAGCAATGACAGAGCAGCATGGACTAAGATACAGTAGAATATTATAGAATAGAGTACAGTATATACATATGAGATGAGTAGTGCAAGATATGTAAACATTATTAAACTTTTACCCCTACCTACATGTACAGTGGGGAGGACAAGTATTTGATCCACTGCCGATTTTGCAGGTTTTCCTACTTAAAAAGCATGTAGAGGTCTGTCATTTTTATCATAGGTACACTTCAACTGTGAGAGACGGAATCTAAAACAAAAATCCAGAAAATCACATTGTATGATTTTTATGTAATTAATATGCATTTTATTGCATGACATAAGTATTTGATCACCTACCAACCAGTAAGAATTCCGGCTCTCACAGACCTGTTAGTTTTTCTTTAAGAAGCCCTCCTGTTCTCCACTCATTACCTGTATTAACTGCACCTGTTTGAACTTGTTACCTGTATAAAAGACACCTGTCCACACACTCAATCAGACTCCAACCTCTCCACAATGGCCAAGACCAGAGAGCTGTGTAAGGTCATCAGGGATAAAATTGTAGACCTGCACAAGGCTGGGATGGGCTACAGGACAATAGGCAAGCAGCTTGGTGAGAAGGCAACAACTGTTGGCGCAATTATTAGAAAATGGAAGAAGTTCAAGATGACGGTCAATCACCCTCGGTCTGGGGCTCCATGCAAGATCTCACCTCATGGGGCATCAATGATCATGAGGAAGATAAGGGATCATCCCAGAACTATACGGCAGGACCTGGTCAATGACCTGAAGAGAGCTGGGACCACAGTCTCAAAGAAAACCATTAGTAACACACTACGCTGTCATGGATTAAAATCCTGCAGTGCACGCAAGGTCCCCCTGCTCAAGCCAGCGCATGTCCAGGCCCGTCTGAAGTTTGCCAATGACCATCTGGATGATCCAGAGGAGGAATGGGTGAAGGTCATGTGGTCTGATGAGACAAAAATATAGCTTTTTTGGTCTAAACTCCACTCGCCGTGTTTGGAGGAAGAAGGATGAGTACAACCCCAAGAACACCATCCCAACCGTGAAGCATGGAGGTGGAAACATCATTCTTTGGGGATGCTTTTCTGCAAAGGGGACAGGACGACTGCACCGTATTGAGGGGAGGATGGATGGGGCCATGTATCGCGAGATCTTGGCCAACAACCTCCTTCCCTCAGTAAGAACATTGAAGATGGGTCGTGGCTGGGTCTTCCAGCATGACAACGACCCGAAACACACAGCCAGGGCAACTAAGGAGTGGCTCCGTAAGAAGCATCTCAAGGTCCTGGAGTGGCCTAGCCAGTCTCCAGACCTGAACCCAATAGAAAATCTTTGGAGGGAGCTGAAAGTCCGTGTTGCCCAGCGACAGCCCCGAAACCTGAAGGATCTGGAGAAGGTCTGTATGGAGGAGTGGGCCAAAATCCCTGCTGCAGTGTGTGCAAACCTGGTCAAGACCTACAGGAAACGTATGATCTCTGTAATTGCAAACAAAAGTTTCTGTACCAAATATTAAGTTCTGCTTTTCTGATGTATCAAATACTTATGTCATGCAATAAAATGCAAATGAATTACTTAAAAATCATACAATGTGATTTTCTGGATTTTTGTTTTTGATTCCGTCTCTCACAGTTGAAGTGTACCTATGATAAAAATTACAGACCTCTACATGCTTTGTAAGTAGGAAAACCTGCAAAATCGGCAGTGGATCAAATACTTGTTCTCCCCACTGTACATATGAGATGAGTAGTGCAAGATATGTAAACATTATTAAAGTGACTGGTGTTCCATTTCTTAAAGTGGCCAGTGATTTCAATAGGCAGCAGCAGCCTCTAATGTGCTAGTGATGGCTATTTAACAGTCTGATGGCCTTGAGATAGAAGCTGTTTTTCATTCTCTCGGTCCCAGCTTTGATGCGCCTGTACTGACCTCGCCTTCTGGATGATAGTGGGTGAACAGGCAGTGGCTCGGGTGGTTGATGTCCTTGATGATCTTTTTGGCCTTCCTGTGAAATCGAGTGCTGAATGTGTCTTGGAGGGCGGGTAGTTTGCCCCCTGGTAATGCGTTCGGCAGACCGCACCACCCTCTGGAGAGCCCTGCGGTTGCGGGGAATCTTTGTTTCATCAGACCAGAGAATCTTATTTCTCATGGTCTGAGAGTCCTTTAGGTGCCTTTGGGCAACTCCAAGCGGGCTGTCATGTGCCTTTTACTGAGGTCTTATTGGTGGAGTGCTGCAGAGATGGTTGTCCTTCTGGAAGATTCTCCCATCTCCACAGAACAAGTCTGGAGCTCTGTCAGAGTGGCCATCAGGGTTCTTGGTCACCTCCCTGACCAAGGCCCATCTCCCCCGATTGCTCAGTTTGGCCAGGCGGCCAGCTCTAGGAAGAGTCTTGGTGGTTCCAAACTTCTTCCATTTAAGAATGATTGAGGCCAATGTGTTCTTGCGGACTTTCAATGCTGCAGAAACATTTTGGTACCCTTCCCCAGATCTTTGCCTCGACACAATCCTCTCTGAGCTCTAGGGTCAATTCCTTCGTCCTCATGGCTTGGTTTTTGCTCTGACATGCACTGTCAACTGTGGGACCTTTATATAGACAGGTGTGTTCCTTTCTAAATCATGTCCAATCAATTGAATTTACCACAGGTGGACTCCAATCAAGTTATAGAAACCTCTCAAGGGTGATCAATGGAAACAGGATGCACCTGAGCTCCATTTAGAGTCTCATAGCAAAGGGTCTGAACACTTATGTAAATAAGAAATTTAGTAGGGGTGGCTGGTATTGGATGCATTGACCTTGATGAATGTAAAAACTTTAGGGTTTGTTGAACTGAAGTGATGTTAAGGTTAAGTTACGAAGGTGTATATAGAAAGCTGGTGTAGTGCTGTAAGACTATTGTGTGTGCAGTGAGTTAGAAGCTGTGTTATTGCATAAGATCGTGGGTAGTGGTATAGTGTAGAGTATAGATTGTGCTCGAGTTAGGTTAGTAGTACTAGGCTATGTAGTAGTGAGTAAGCTAGTAGTAAGTGTATTTGCAGGAGTGTTTTAGTAGTAGGCATTAGTAAGTGAGTAGTAGAGTAGTAGGCAGTAGTGTGTAGTAAGGTAGTATAAGGTGAGTAGTAGTAGAGCTATAGAAAGGCTGTATAGTAGTAGTAAGTGTTGCTGTAGATTCTATTAAGGCTGTGTAGTAGTAGTAGTTTAGTAGGTAGTTAGTAGTAAGCTGTGTAGTGTAGTAGTGTATAGTAAGTAGTAGTAGTAGTAGTAAGGCTGTGTCTTTAGTGTAGTGTAGTATAGTGTATGTAGTAAGGCTTGTAAGTAGTAGTGTGTAAGGCTAGTAGTTATTGTATAGGCTGTAAGTTGTAGTAGTGAGTAGTTAAGGCTGTAGTAGTAGAGTAGAAAAGTAGTAGGTTGTAGTTAGTTGTAGGTAAGTGCTGTAGTAGTATATTAAGAGGCTGTGTATAGATAGTAGTGTAAGTGTAGTAGTAATAAGCGTTAGTAGTAGTAGTTGTAGTAGTATAGGTGTTATGTAGTTAAGTGTTGTAGTAGTATAGTTTGTAGTGAGTAGTAGTAAGTGTAGTATGTAAGGCTGTGTGTATAGTGTAGTAGTAGTAAGCTATGTGTAGTTAGTATGTAGTATGTAAGTAGTAGTGTAGTAGTAGTAAGGCTGTGTGTAGTAGTAGTAAGTAGTAGTAGTAGTAGTGTATGTAAGGCTGTAGTAGTAGTATGTGTAGTAGTAGTGAGTGTGTAGTTAGTTGTGGTAGTAAGAAGTAGTAGTAGTAGTGTGTAGTAGCGTTATATGTAAGTAGTTGTAGTAGTAGTAGTTAGTTTAGTAGTTTAGTATAAGGCTAGAGTAGTAGTATAGTGGGTAAGGCGTAGTAGTAGTAGTAAGGCTGTTGTAGTAGTAGTAGTAGTAGTAGGCTGTAGTATATTAGTAGTAAAAGGCTGTAAGTAGTAGTGTAGTAGTTAGTAGTTAAGGCTGTTATATGTAGCTTGTAGTAGTAGTAGTGTAGTAGTAAGCTGTAGTTGTAGTAGTAGGTAGTAGTAGTGTAGTGGGTGTAGTAGTAGTAGTAAGTAGGTAGTAGTAGTAAGGCTGTGTAGTAGTGAGTAGTAGTAGTAAGGCTGTAGTATGTAGTATTGCTGTAGTAGTAGTAGTAGGCTGGTAGTAGTAGTAGTAAGAGTAGTAGTGTGTGTAGTAGGCTGTAGTAATGTAGTATTTAAGTATAAGCTGTGCTGTAGTGTAGTAGTAGTAGTTAGTAAGGCTAGTAGTAGTGTAGTAGTAGTATAGGCTGTAGTAGTAGTAGTGTAGTAGTGTAGTAGAGTAGTAAAGGGTAGTAGTAGTAGAAAGGCTTGTAGTAGTAGTAGTAGTAAGGCTTGTGTAGTAGTAGTAGTAAGCTGTAGTAGTAGTGTATGTAAGGCTGTAGTAGTAGTAGTAGTAGTAGTGTAGATAGTAGTAGGCTGTAGTAGTAGTAGTAGTGTAGTAGTATAGGTAAGTGTAGTAAGGCTGTAGTAGTAGTAGTAAGGCTGTAGTAGTAGTAGGGGTGTAGTAGTGTAGTAGTAGTAGTAGTAGTAGTAGTAGTAGTAAGGCTGTAGTAGTTAGTGTAGTGTAGTAGTAGTAAGTAGGGTAGTAGTAGTAGTAGTAGTAGTAGTAGCTAGAAAGTCAGGTAGTAGTGTAAGGCTGTGAGTAGTAGTGTTTAGAGTAGTAGTAAGGCTGTAGTAGTAGTATAGAGCTGTAGTAGTAGTAGTAAGGTTGTAGTAGTAGTAGCTAGTAGTATGTAAGTAGTATAGTAGTAAGTGCTGTAGTAGTAGTAGTAGCTAGTAGTAGGTAGTAGTAAGGCTGTAGTGTAGTAGTATTAGTAAGGCTGTAGTAGTAGTAGTAGTAGTAAGGCTGTAGTAGTAGTAGTAGTAGTATAGGCTGTAGTAGTAGTAGTAGTAGTAAGGCTGTAGTAGTAGTATAGTAGTAAGGCTGTAGTAGTAGTAGTAGTAGCTGTAGTAGTAGTAGTAAGGCTGTAGTAGTAGTAGTAAGGCTGTAGTAGTAGTAAGTAAGGCTGTAGTAGTAATTTAGTAGTTAGTAGTAAGGCTGTTAGTTAGTAGTTAGTACTGTGTAGTGTAAGGCGGTAGTGAGTAGGTGATAGAAAGGCTAGTATAGAGTAGTATACAGTAGTAGTAGTTCTGTGTAGTTCTTAGAAGTAAGCCATGGTATATTTTGTTCGTGTAGCTAGTCGTAAAATGTAGTATAGGCTGTATGTGTAGTAGTAGTAGTAACGTAGTAGTAGTAGTAAGGCTGTGTTAGTAGTTAGTTGTAAGTAAGTAGTAGTAGCTGTTATAGTTTAAGCTTGTATAAGTAACAGGTAGTAGTAGTGTAAGGCTTTAGAAGTAAAGTAGTAGTATAGTAGCTGTGTATGTTTAGTTAGAAAGTGTAAGTAGTATAGTATAGGCTGTAGTAGTAGTTAGTCAGTAAAGGCGTAGTAGTAGTATTGGCTGTAGTAGTAGTAGTAGTAGTAAGGCTGTAGTAGTAGTTAGAGTATAGGCCTTGTATTTTTAGTAGTAGTATAGTCTGTAGTACGTATAGTAAGGCTGGTAGTATTCTGTTAGTAGTAGTCGTAGTGTAGTAAAGTAAGGCTGTGTAGTAGTAGTCTAGTAGTAGTAGTTATGTAGCTAGTATAGTGAGTAGTAGTATAGTAGTGTTAGTTGTTCTGTAGTAATAGTAGTAGTAAGTAGTTAGTAGTAGTAGTAGTAGTAGTAAGCTGTAGTAGTAGTAGTAGTACTAGTAAGGCTGTAGTAGTAGTATTAGTAAGGCTGTAGTAGTAGTAGGCTGTAATGTAACAATGTGGAAAAAAGGAAGGGGTCTGAGTACTTTCCCAATTTGCTGTCTGTTTGGTGACCAGTCCTGTCTGTCTTAACACAGGTCTGACTCCTATGACACTTACTCCAGTTGTAGTCGTAGCCGCAGCGCCAGCAGGAGACGTGGGAGGAGGAGTGATAGCTATCGGAGCTCCAGGTAAGAGGATCTACTTCCTCACACCACTGGTATATTCTCTGTTCTGTTCTCCTCTCGCCAAACACACACCACTGGTATATTCTCTGTTGTTCTCCTCTCGCCAAACACACACCACTGGTATATTCTCTGTTCTGTTCTCCTCTCGCCAAACACACACCACTGGTTATTCTCTGTTCTGTTTTCTCCTCTCGCCAAACCACACACCATGGTATTCTCTGTTCTGTTCTCCTCTCGCCAAACACACACCACTGGTATATTCTCTGTTCTGTTCTCCTCTCGCCAAACACACACCACAGGTATATTCTCTGTTCTGTTCTCCTCTCGCCAAACACACACCACAGGTATATTCTCTGTTCTGTTCTCCTCTCGCCAAAGTGACTCCATGTTATACAAGTTTTGAAGAGTCAAACCATCCACAACTAGACTAAAGTCAAATATTTATTTATATCTTCTTCACTATTTTCTGTCCTTCATATTCCTCTCTCCTGTCCCTCTGCAGGTCCTCCCAATCCTCTAGTCGCAGTTCCTCCCGGCACTGGAGCCACAGTGGCAGATACAGTTGATCTGGGTCATGTCTGTTTCTGTCTCTGTCCTGATGTCCTGGTGATTCATGAGTCTGTCTCTGTCCTAGTGATTCATGAGTCTGTTTCTGTCTCTGTCCTGATGTCCTGGTGATTCATGAGTCTCTCTGTCCTGATGTCCTGGTGATTCATGAGTCTGTTTCTGTCTCTGTCCTGGTGATTCCTGTGGGTTGATCTGGTTCATGAGTCAGTCTCTGTCCTAGTGATTCCTGTGGGTTGATCTGGTTCATGAGTCAGTCTCTGTCCTGGTGATTCCTGTGGGTTGATCTGGTTCATGAGTCTGTTTCAGTCTCTGTCCTGGTGATTCCTGTGGGTTGATCTGGTTCATGAGTCAGTCTCTGTCCTGGTGATTCCTGTGGGTTGATCTGGTTCATGAGTCAGTCTCTGTCCTAGTGATTCCTGTGGGTTGATCTGGTTCATGAGTCAGTCTCTGTCCTGGTGATTCCTGTGGGTTGATCTGGTTCATGAGTCTGTTTCAGTCTCTGTCCTGGTGATTCCTGTGGGTTGATCTGGTTCATGAGTCAGTCTCTGTCCTGGTGATTCTGGGGGTTGATCTGGTTCATGAGTCAGTCTCTGTCCTAGTGATTCCTGTGGTTGATCTGGTTCATGAGTCAGTCTCTGTCCTGGTGATTCCTGTGGGTTGATCTGGTTCATGAGTCTGTTTCAGTCTCTGTCCTGGTGATTCCTGTGGGTTGATCTGGTTCATGAGTCAGTCTCTGTCCTGGTGATTCCTGTGGGTTGATCTGGTTCATGAGTCAGTCTCTGTCCTGGTGATTCCTGTGGGTTGATCTGGTTCATGAGTCAGTCTCTGTCCTGGTGATTCCTGTGGGTTGATCTGGTTCATGAGTCTGTTTCAGTCTCTGTCCTGGTGATTCCTGTGGGTTGATCTGGTTCATGAGTCAGTCTCTGTCCTGGTGATTCCTGTGGGTTGATCTGGTTCATGAGTCAGTCTCTGTCCTGGTGATTCCTGTGGGTTGATCTGGTTCATGAGTCTGTTTCAGTCTCTGTCCTGGTGATTCCTGTGGGTTGATCTGGTTCATGAGTCAGTCTCTGTCCTGGTGATTCCTGTGGGTTGATCTGGTTCATGAGTCAGTCTCTGTCCTGGTGATTCCTGTGGGTTGATCTGGTTCATGAGTCAGTCTCTGTCCTGGTGATTCCTGTGGGTTTCAGTCTATACAGCTAGCCTGAGTGCCAGTCAGTTTGTGCTGTCAAGCCTACTCCCTGTCACTCATTGTCATACCCAACTTGACAAGAGTACAAACAGATCTGGGACCAGGCTACTATACATGCCTCCTTGTGTTCTTTCATCTTCTATGGTTACTTCCGATATAGAGGGGAAAGTCATGACCTGTACGTCATTTGTGTGGATATCAGAAAGCATTCATACCCCTTGACTTATTCCACATTTTGTTAGAACCTGAATTCAAAATTGATTCAATATATATTTTCTCTCACATCTACACACAAAACCCCATAATGACAAAGTGAAAACATGTTTTTAGACATTTTTGCTAATTTATTGACAATAAAATACAGAAATATCTACTTTACAAAGTATTCACATCCCTGGCAGTAATTACAGCGGTAGTCTTTCTGTGTAAGTCTCTAAGAGCTTTGCACACCTGGATTGTACAATATTTGCACATTATTATTTCTAAAATACTTCAAGCTCTGTCAAATTGGTTGTTGATCATTTTCATGTCTTGCCATACATAACTAAGCCACTCAGGAACATTCAATGTTGTCTTGGTAAGCAACTCCAGTGTATATTTGGCCTTGTGTTTTAGGTTATTGTCCTGTTGAAAGGTGGAAAGCAGACTGAACCAGGTTTTCCTCTAGGTTTTTACATGTGCTCAGCTTTATTGCGTTTCTTTTTATCCTAAAGAAACGATGACAAGCAAACCCATAACATGATGCAGCCACCACCATGCTTGAAAAAATGGAGTGTAGTACTCAGTAATGTGTTTTATTGGATTTTCCCCAAACATAACGCTTTGTGTTCAGTTCATAATTTGTTTGCCACATTTTTGACAGTTTTACTTTAGTGCCTTATTGCAAACAGAATGCATGTTTCCTCCTTTTCACTCTGTCAATTAGGTTAGTCTTGTGGAGTAACTACAATGTTGATCCATCCTCCATTTTCTCCTATCACAGCCATTCAACTCTGTAACTGTTTTGAAGTCACCATTGGTCTCATGGTGAAATTCCTGAGTGGTTTCCTTCCTCTCCGTCAACTAAGTTAGGAAGGACGCCTGTATCTTTGTAGTGACTGGATGTATTGATACACCATCCAAAGTGTAATTAGTAACAACACCATGCTCAAAGGGATATTCAATGTCTATTTATTTTTTTACCCATCTACCAATAGGTACCCTTTGCGAGGCATTGGAAAACCTCCCTGGTCTTTGTGTTTGAATATGTGTTTGAAATTCACTGCTCAACTGAGGGACCTTACAGATAATTGTATGTGTGGGGTACAGATATGAGGTAGTCATTCATAAATCATGTTAAACTCTATTATTGCACACAGAGTGACTCCATGCAACTTATTGAGACTTGTTAAGCACATCTTTACTCCTGAACTTATATAGGCTTGCCATAGCAAAGGGGTTGAATACTTATTGACTGAAGACATTTCAGTTTTTCATTTTTAATTAATTTGTAAAAAATAAACATAATTCCACTTTGACATTATGGGGTATTATGTGTAGGCCAGTGACAAAAAATCTCAATTTCATCCATTTTAAATTCAGGATTTAACACAACAACGTGGAAAAAGTCAAGGTTGTGAATACTTTCTGAAGACACTGTATATTTCTTTATTCCTAACAGACAGTTTTGATTTGTTTTTTTTTATACATTTTATTTAGTTTTGATTTTATACACTGAAATATCTGAATGTATATCAAGCTGGAAACTGATCCAATTGTTTGTGAATTATCAATGGGTTATACATGTATTTGATAGTTTGCATTTAAACTGTGGTCACCGCACATCCTGTGGGAACAGGAAGGAAATCAATGCCTTAAGCTGCTTGGACAGGGTAAGACAAGGGTGAAGGGTAGGGGCCCTATGGTGTGTGTGTGTGTATGTATATATATATATATACTGGTTAGCAGGGTTTTCCCCAAAGAATTTAAGGGAGGTGTTTATTTTAATTTTACTTATCATATAAGGCAATGTTTTGCTCTAGATTGCAGGAAATGGCAGTTACAGAGGTAAAAAAACGCAAAGAAACCCTCTGAATCCAAAGGGGAGCACTGCCCTCAGCAGCACCAGATTGTTAAGAAATCCTGGGGAGAACCCTGGGTTAGTAGTGGCTAGTACTAGTACTGGTTGGTACTGGATCATTCTCATTAGTGCACACCGCAGCAAACTATATCAACGTTTTGCAAAGGAAATGTAGTTTCTTATTGAACAAGTTCAGGTCAGGTTTTCTTCCGTTTTTGAATTCTATTGAATATGACCCAGGTAATTGATTACAGAAGAGAAATGCCTGTTTTAGTTTTTCACTATGTTCATTGTTCTAACTGTTATTTTTCCTCAATAGTTTCATGAATGTACAACATGTATTGACGAGATGTATGTATCCTGTGGTCATTGAAAAGGCTGCATTGCTTTCAAACATTAAAACTCAACTAATGCTTTTGCATTTTCTAATTTGTTCGGTGTTGATTTTCTGATATGGACAAGACCCACAGTAATGAACGTCAGCCATCCTCCGTACGTCACCTGCTGGGTGTTGACGACCGGTGACAATTCAACATGTAGAACAGAATAACCCTAACAACATGAAGAACAGTCAGGAAAAGAACAGAACATGACGGTCTGTGGTCAGAGTCGGTAGAACTGACACCTGCTGCTAATTATGGTTTACTATGGTTCAATATGGTCTACTGTAGAAAACAGGTTAGTTCACCCAGGGTCTACTGTAGAACAGGTTAGTTCACCCAGGGTCTACTGTAGAACAGGTTAGTTTTACCCCGGGTCTATGTTTGAAAGGTTAGTTTTACCCAGGGTTACTGTAGAAAAGGTTTGTTTACTAGGTCTACTGTAGAAAGGTTTTTCACCCAGGGTCTACTGTAGAACAGGTTAGTTCACCCGGGTCTTGTTAGAACAGGTTATTCCCCGGGTCTACTGTAGAAAAAGGTTTGTTCACCCCGGGTCTACTGTAGAAAAGGGGTTTGTTCACCCGGGTCTCCCGTAGAAAAGGTTAGTTTTACCCGGGTTTACGTGAAAAAAGGTTAGTTCACCCAGGGTCACTGTGAAAAAGGGTTGTTTACCCCGGGTTACTGTAGAACAGGAGTTCACCCCGGGTCTACTGTGAACAGGTTAGTTCACCCCGGGCTACTGTAGAAAAGGTTGTTTATTGGTTTCTGAGAACAGGTTAGTTCCCCAGGGTTACTGTTTGAACAGGTTTTCCCCCCGGGTTTTGAGAAAACAGGTTTGTTACCCCCGGGTCTATGAGAAAAAGGTTAGTTTTTCTATGGGCTATGTAGAAAAAAGGTTTTGTTTACATGGTTTTACTGTGAAAAAGGTTAGTTTATAGGTCTACTGTAGAACAGGTTAGTTCACCCCGGGGGTACGTAGAAAGGTTGTTCACCCGGGTTTTACTGTAGAACAGGTTAGTTTACCCCGGGCTATGTAGAACGGTTAGTTTTTTTATGGTTATGAGAACAGGTTTGTTCCCCCAGGGTCTACTGTGAACAGGTTTGTTACCCAGGGGTTTCTGTAAAAAGGTTAGTTTTTTCTATGGTCTTGTAGAAAAGGTTTTGTTCACCCAGGGTTACTGAGAAAAAAGGGTTTGTTCAACCAGGGTTACTGTAGAACAGGTTTTTTTTCACCCAGGGTTTACTGTTTTGAACGGTTAGTTCACCCCGGGGTCTCGAGAACAGGTTAGTTTTCTTGGTTATGTAGAAAAAAAGGTTTGGGTTTACCCAGGGTCTACTGTAGAAAAGGTTTGTTTTACCCCCGGGTCTACTGTAGAACAGGTTAGTTCACCCCGGGTCTTTGGGAGAACAGGTTTGGTTTCACCCCGGGTCTATGTAGAAAAAGGTTAGTTCACCCCGGGTCTTTCTGTTTGAAAGG